ACGTGTCATATCAAATTTTTTATCGCCATATTACAATTATAACTATAATGAAAATAAATTATACGTTCAATAAATGTATTGCAAATTTTAAAAATTCAGTGATCAAAATGCAAGTGTTATAAAAATTCAAGGGCCATTTTTGTAGTTTACCATTAATTTCAACTAGACTGTTATCTGTGACTAATACATTTAATAATCACACAGCAAAATACAAAATTAAAACTGAGATTCGATTAGGTAAAATTTAAGTGAACAACTGAAGATTTTAATTAATTAAAAAGGGCTTACATAAAGCCTAGTTGGTGAACATGTAAGTGAAGTTAGCAAAGGTTAGGTTTATGTAAAATCCAGTTGATGGCTCCAATTTAATATGATATCACAAAAGCTGATTTTCAGGCAAAAGAAAAATGCCATAGCATTTTCTGATCTAATAAAATTACATTACCTAATACCACATATCTCCAGAACCAATAAAATTGGAATTATATCAAGAGTAGAAGCTGCCACTAATTTATCACTCTAATAAAGTGTGAAAAGGGTTTTCATCACAAATATTTTTCATTAAGAAAATAGGTTATTTGCATCTCTACACCAAATCACTATATCACAACAAAACAATGCCTCATATCACAACGTTTACCATAAAAACTCAACCTACCCTCCATCGTTTTGGCTTTGCCTACTCAGAGTCCTAGTTTCAAGGTTCAATCACTAATAGAGGCTGCAGAAGGATTACAAACAAGAATGTCAGAATCAAATATACTTCAATTTTACAATTCAATACACACACACACATAATTGAAATCAAGGAAGTTAAGAATACTCACCGTGTCAACGCTGACTTGTTTACCATCTTCTGCAACGATCTCAACTATGGTTCCCGATTGATCAGCCTAAAGAAATAAGCATTTTCCAGTTAAGTGACATAAGCAAAAGTTTTGACAATTTCATACTCTGGTTATGACAACATTCTCTTGATTAAGGGGTGTATAACACATTACAGTTAGCCACTACAAGTGCTGCAACCATGGGCTGTGATCACCAAAGAGAACCAAAATGCATGGTTTCGGGTTAGTTGTTGAAAGTGCTCCAACAGGAAAAGCTAATCCAGACTATGTCTTGCTTATATTTGGCTAGTTTAAGCCATTATAACTACTCGTGTATTTTTCGCAGTATATGATACAAAACAGAGCACAAATGCATGCAATGAACCTCAACCAATGCCATACATCATAAAAACTGTAAGACGTTCATAAATATGGTTTGGAACATTTTTCCTCTCACTTGAAAATAAACCCCACATCTTTATATGCTACAGGTGGCCTGAGGGATTTTGCTAGGGACACTTGATACCTCGTTGGGTTGGGCTGTCGAGCACCTGATGAAAAGTGGTCTCTAGTTCCTATAATCCAACAATCTCACCGCACCCCTATCCCCTAGTGATGCTTGGGAGACTTAAACTGCAACCTTGCTCTAACATCTCTAAGGAACAAGTCTCTACTACTAGATTAAAAGCTATTGCCGTTGGTTAGCGGGCAATTTATTAACTTCAAAACTAGCAGCACAAAACACCGTGTGCATACATGCTGCAAAGCAGGATAAGGGGATTTGCGGGGCACTTGGTATCCTGGCAGGTTGGACTATCAAGCACATGATAAGTTTAGGGTGATCGCTAGCCCTCATAAGCCAAAAGATACCTTGAGACCTTCATTAGCGCATTGGTTATCAAAATCCTGTCCCCATTTCTTGTAAAACTTGTCATGTAAAGTAAGACACCCCATTCTTCGAAAGCTTTAGAGTTATATCTCACAATTTCTTTCAAAGTTCAGACCTAAATAAATCAACATTATTCTATACTGGGAAGATAGAAGTTCTAAAATATTAACGGGAGAAAATGTCGAAGGGTAGTAGTATTTGTATGACAAATCATTATATCTTTTCTAGGCAGAAAAAATATGAACTTACCTCTATTTCATTCATCAACTTCATTGCCTCAATGATGCATAAGACCTGACCCTTCTGCACTTTGTCTCCAACCTACAGTGAAAGCATTTTGCTTAAGTCCAAAGGGCCAAAGTGAATCAACCACAGGATAGACATAATAGCAGCACCATTAAAATCCAATAAAAATCAACATGGGATATTCACCTTCACAAATGGTGGTTCACCGGGAGCCGGACTTATGTAAAATGTACCAGCCATTGGACTTTTAAGAGGTGGAAGTGATGATTTGGCTGACATAGGAGCAGCTGGCGAAGGTGCTGAAGTTGGGGCAGCAGATGCTTGACCAGAAGGTGGAGGTGCAGGGACAGATGGGATTGGGGACATTACTGGTGGTTGAGAGGGTGACTGCATCATAACAACTGGAGCTGCAGATGGTGGTTGGGGCAACGCCTCCTTTTTCCGGATTACCAGTTCACAGTCAAGTTGTTTAAGCTGCAACTCCACAATATCTCTTGAATCAACTAACCTAGAAGAAAACATGTAATAACAATTAAATTGAGTAAACTTTGGGGAAATGAAAAAAAGCCAAAAAATCAACAATAAAAAGCTTACTTTACTAGATTTGAAACTTGATTAAGGAATTCTGAGATTGATTCTTCCGTGGCCAAAGCTGGAGGAGAATCATCGGTTGATGGCTTAGCATTTTTCACTTCTGCATTTGGTGCCCCTGATTTGACTGTAGGTGTAGCAGAAGCATCTGATGATCCGTCAATGGCAACCTTGAAGGCAACAGATGATCCCAAAAACATGTATATAAGGAATCAATACTTGGAAACCAATACTCTAACCAAAATCATTTAAAAAAGCTTACCTCATTAAGTTGGCTTTTCACCACTGTAGAAGAGTTCCAACCAGGTAGAAAACTCTGCAATGTAGAGACCAGTAAAATTTTCAATTCAACAGAGAAAGACAAGAATTAAGTAAACTTGACAGAACATAAAATTTCAGAGGACTTTTTTATTCTCTCTATAATTTATAGCAAGAAAGCAAAATGTTTGAGGCCTGCACAGTGCAAGCAGAAAGATGTCAAGTTCCAACTATTGATGAGCCTCGCAATTTCAATATTATTTTTCAATGTTTATGTCCAAAAATACGGGGCTCGTATGCAAATAAAACGGCATACAAAACAGTTCTAAAAGCCAGAAAAATCAATTGCAAAGATAAACAATCATCTTCTCCTCTTTTTGCTACTAATTTTACCAGCAAAAACACATGGATCCATGCTTAGAATAGACCAAACAACGGAGAACACCAATTCACACTCTTCCACTAGCAAACTTAAACGTAGCAAGAAAGCAAATAAAATCAAACGCAAGATTCACATAATAGAAGCAGCTAAAATGTAGAAAAAAGAGAGGAAATTAAGAAGGATTAAGTTACCTTGGAGAAGAATAGAGGGATTGGGTTGGAAGAGAAGCGAAAGGAGAGGTTGGAGAGCTGAAGGTTAGAGGAAGGAGGCAAAGTAGCGGAGGTTTTAGCAACGGAAGTGAAGGCAGCGGAGGCTGTTGTTGAGAGTGAAGACGCCATTTATTTTAGTATTTCTTTTCAACCAATACGATTGGATTTGTAGGACAAAAACAGAGAAGACGGAAAGGACAGCAGCTTTGGGGAATCCGTCGAGGAGAGAAGTGGATGATGATGATGAGCTGTGTGTTTTGTTTTGTTTAGGGGCCCATCAAATCCAACACAGACGTCTTTCTAGTTCTACTTCATTATATCCATACTTTATGTTATTTCTTCTTCTTCTTTTTATTTGATTGTAGCGTTACAGCATTGTCTTTCTCTGCTAGTTCTTTAACCAAGCTTTCACTTTTTTATTATCAACTGTCGATTTAAGTGGTAAATAACTTGATATCATTTAAATATATTTTAAATTTGAGTCTTTATATATATGTAGAAATTCTCCACCGAAAAATTCACTCATTAAGACCAAGTACACGACTCGAATCAGTATGAATTAGTAAAGGCAAAGCCTTTACAAACTGATAGTAACAAAAACAAATTATTCTCTTTATTAAAGTGACCTAGCAAATTAATTTAGTATGTGACATATTTAATGACAAATTATTTATCTCGTTAATAATTTAATGACAAATTCGATAAAAGATTGAAAATCGGTAATATCTAATTTAATTTACTCAAATTAAAAATTGCCTATGCTATGCGACATATTTAATATCCAAATGCCACTAAATTATGACGTTTGATAACGAAAGCGTCAACTAAATTATCAACTGTTTTTACGTTAATTTGATGGGTAAAGTATCTAAATGGTTGTCTAATTTTTGAGAGTTTATAATTCTACCATCGGAAAAGAAGTTTTTTCGATTGAGCCAATTTTTAGGACACTGTTTATTTAATTATTTGTTGTTGACCAAAAAATAATAATTTTAGTGACCACCATTAAATTCTCTAACGACGTATCACTTTTAATAAGATGATGATACGTACCATTCTTAATGAGATAAATATTAATAACACACTATCACTAGTAAAACATTAACATATCTTGTGTTATCATTTAATCTTTATAAAAAAACAAGAAAAAATTTCAGTTACCATGCATAAGATTCAAACTAAAAAGTTTTAATATGAATATCCGTGCACATGTTGGTCCATTTTGTATAGATTCGAAGTCCAATATTTATCTTGAAAATATAATACCTCTTTATTTAATAAAAAAAATATCCAATGCAAAAATATTACACCCAAATAATGAATTTGCCATTACTGAGAAAAGAAAATTTCAAGACTTGATGGTTCAGTTTAGTTTGTTCTTATTCTGCATGTACCTAGTTTTAGTATATAGTAAAAATAATATTTATATTATCTTACACGTAAACGTTAAAAAATATAGAGTGGAAACATGCCTTTTAGAGGGCATTTACGAAAAATGTCCAAAGTAGTGCAACACTTTTTTTTTGATAAGAAAGTAGTGCAACATTTTCGTGGTGAATTTTCTTGGGAAAATTTTTTCTTCCAATCAAAACAGCACGTTAAATATGAGCATGGATTCTATTCTCACGGTAATGGCAAGGGAATCCTACATTCCTAGAATTAACACCTAACCTAAGTTATGATATTATGATCAGAAAGCCAAGTGCATTATCCCACCTACCTGTACTCTACATCTTCCTGGGGTATTTGAGCTTGGATTGATCTTCAGGATCGTCCATGTCGTTACAGCGCTTCATTAAGAAAGAATCGAGAGTTTTCTGCTTCCCTGGGCTTCCTTGTTGGACGGGGTCGAGAGTTTTCTTCTTCATCGGACTTTTAACTTCTTGGCTGCTTGAAACTTCCAAAGCATTCTCTTGGCCATCAAGCATCTAATCATAAAACAATTCAATTTCAGTTTACCAACTAAAAGAAATTAAGATCTGAAGAGTTTTATGAACCCTCCACCCTAAATTCGAATTAGATTTTGCTTCGTATCTGAATGTGTGATATAGACAAGCAGAAGCAAAGTACCTGACCCAGATTTTCCAACTTGTGCTGGACAACATCCCTAAAATGTAAAGCAGATTAGATATAATAATGATTCATCATCAACATCTGTGTGATGGCATACTGGATTGACCAAGATTAACAAACAAGATAATGAAACCGCATACCATATGATGTCATCGACTGTGTCATTTGCTAGCAGATAGTATATATTCACTGAAGAGACCTAAGAATATGAAGGCATCCATGTCAGAAAACAAAATAAACAGACAGAACATTGAGCAGCGGGAGAATATGTATGATTACAGAATTAAAAGAAATTCATCCTGTTCCAGACAAGTCCTAGATACCATAATATCATCAGAGGTAAAACTCATAAAGTCAGATTATCAACAAGCGACGTGATGGAAAAACAATTTTTTCTTTTTTCAAGATTAGTGCTATTTTCCCTGTTAGATTATTAGAAATATAATTACTGTGATTCAATTTTAACTTTAGCATAGCAAAAGGTAAAAAAACCTAAAGCGCCAAGCAGAGCCTAATGAGATTGTCCTTTACAACTTTCATGCAGAGTCCGTTCAGACCTGCATAAATTTTGGAATGAAAATATTGGCTTCATGAAAAGTCATAAACATGAGTACAGCCTATATAGTCTGTTACGTAATATCCAAATCCGAAGCCACATAATTGCTCTAAAACCCAAATCCGTATATTATCCGCATTAAGTCCAAATATTACTACCTGAATCTGAATCCTAATTAAATAAATAATGCACCAGATATCCAAAGTCGCTAAATATCTTAATCTAGCAAGAAAAAAAGGTTAAAATAAATATTTTATAAATTGGATTGGATAATGGATTTGAATATCCGAGTCCAAATCTATATCCATAGAAATAAAACCGATTCAGGTGGAGCCCATATATGAATCCGTTACCTACAAAAGTAAAACAGATTTGAAGAATGGATATCCGAGAGTTGATATCTGTTTCCTACAGTAAGTAATTAGAATATTTGAATCCAAATTAACAATATCTGAATCAACTAAAAGCAGATTGTACATCCGCAAATATCTAAATAAACACTATCTGTCGCCATCACTAGTTATCTGGTACTATTGCTGTCTCAATACCTCTCTCTTGATCAGCACATCAAGCCAGGCTGCAACTAAGTAATTCTAGATGCCGGACTCTTCATTTGGTAGAAGACCTAGGAGCTCCTCAAACATGAGCCCCATGGTAACTCAAGGGGAATGGAAGAACACTATTTCAGAAACTGTCTTATTTAAGATTTTATTTGGATATTATGCTATATTTTTTTGGTTCAATTTTAATTTTAATATATATTAAGGATCTTTTAGATTAGATAATTTATTTATTTATATTCATTAGCATTTTCCAAGCATTAGGGCTTTAAGGTTATATTGGTATTTCTTTTATGTTTCAACTACAGTTGAGGGGTTTACCTACATATTAGGACTATTAATATTGAGATTTAGTCGAGTTATTCTGTTTTGATTCATGAGGAAGTGATATTTTAAAATATTCGAGAGTTTTGAGTGCTTTTGAGAAATTTTGGAGATTTTACTGGGACTTTCAAACTATTTTTAAAGTCTGTTCTAAATCACTTTCTGTGGAAACTGAAAAACAGGTTTGTTTTTGCAGTGTTTTTCATTTAAATTAAAGTTTACAGAGTCTTATAAAAGACTTCAGCCTAGTGTTTTACCCTGCTAGGACGTCTAATAACTATACAAAACATTGGAAATTTAAATTAGAGATAAGGTAGAGGAGTTTGCGAAATTGGGAATTGGGTAGGCTTGACGAGGGGGTAATATGTAGGGATTGGTTGGTAGTTTGTATTGGGTTTTGTTGTTTGATGGTAGGAGTATGATTGTAATTGGTCTTATGTACTGCTGTTGTATCTGGTTTTTTAGTAATAAAATTAATGGCATTCTTTTCCTCCATCCAATGTCCGCTGAACTACCTATGTAGATTGGCGGTTATGATGGGGGTTTTAACGAGGCCATCTTTCTATAAAAAAAAGGTTAACCTAATCTAAACTAACTAAGAATAATAACAAATAACACATAAAAAACTGCCTAAGTATATCCACAACTCACACTTTCGGTTCATGCAATTGTAAATTTTGAAGTTCTCATCAGAGTTCACTTTCACAAAAAATATATTGTGATTCTAAATTCCATAATATCCAAAATGATATTCATCAGACATAATTTCTCTGGTGATTTACCTGGCCAATCCTATGAGTACGATCTTCTGCTTGAATCAGGTCACCTGGAGTCCATGACAACTCTGCAAAGATAACAGTACTTGCAGCTGTTAAAGTCAACCCGACACCTCCAGCTTTTATAGATAGCTGCCACAGAAAAGCAAAAGCAAAATGAATATCACATTTGCCATAAGAGGGAAAAAACTCCCAATTTACATTGAAAAATAAAGGATAAGAAACATAAAACTTATTAGACAAAAAAAGAGTGATACCACCGCAGCTTTGATAGCGTCCTTCTCTTGAAAATCATTAACCAAAGCTTGCCTTGCAGTTGCAGGGGTGGTACCGTCAATTCGAATGCAACCCACTTTCTTCTTCTGTAAGTTTGGAACATCTTATAAGAACAGGTCAAAACTTTAGAAAAACTCAGGACGAATTTAAGTTCCCTTACGAGAAGAAACTGATGTATTGCTTCAATCATTGGCTGATGATGTGCAAATATTATAAATTTGCAGTCTGCCTGCAATGATTACTTGTAACAAATAAGTACGCAAGGACCAAAAGTATGAAAATCCAACACAAGAAAAGAAAACTATAAGGTTTCACGAAAACTGGAGAATCATAATTGCAAAAATATATTAACACATCGAGGGTTGGATATTTCAGGTGTCAGGAATCGCAAATTGCAGCTTCTTTCAAGTTTTGAGGTAGTAGAATTCAATATCCAATGCAGATCCTTGTATTAGATTTCCCCAGGTTAAATCAATGGTAGGATGGAATTTCATATCTCCATTGGCATTATTCTCAAGCGTCAGATGGAGAGCATTACAAGGCAGATATTTTGCCAGAAAATACAAAATAGTATCATAAAATCAGTGTCAAAGAAGGAAAGTTGCATTTGGGAACTAAAAGTAGTATTAGTAATAGGATTCTATTAACATGGTGGATTTGAAAGAAAAAAAAATGTAATAATAAGCTTATAACTATAATTTGAATTCTCTTTCATCATGGTGAGACTTATTTACACAAAACTGTTCCAGTGTACAATGTACATTTATAAATGCAAAGGTTTGTAAAGACAAGTACAAAACGCACCTCAATGATAGTTCCTAGATAATCTAGAACTGCTGGGATCTTAGCTTCAGCAGAATCAGTGTAAATCTGGAGGGCGAGGATGAAGCTAATAAGGAATTTAGTCAAGCTTCAATTATAAATAAATAATGCCGATACTACGAAAGAAATTGCACATACACTACGAAAGAAATTACACATACATACTACTACAACTCAGTAAAATGAAAAAAAAAGACCTTATTTATGAGATTCTTCTGCACAAGTTTGAGTGATTTAACCTCCTCTTCTGACTTGCATGCAGTGATTTTGCCCTTTACAACCTCCAACTACAAAATAGTTCAGTTTAGTTGTATTAGGTGGCACTTTTAGATCCATATTAACCTTCAGAAAAACCTTCCGAAAGAACCCAGTGACCCATTGATGCCAACATATCACTTTCACATTTCCACCTCAGTATACAGAAGAATTACAAGAAGATTAAAACATAAAAAGTCGAACATGATGGCAAAGTTGCTGATCCAAACAAGTATTATAAGCCACTATATGCACGTTAACATACAAGCAGAACCTAAATAATGCGGGAACCTAAGCTGGTAAGAAATTAGGGGTCTATTGAATTATTGATCTATCAGCAAAACATTGAATTACATTATTAGCCAATATTTACAACAAATTATCAATATTAATACCGCAAGTAATATACAAATTAGTCAAACAAATTTAGTTCAAGATCTAGATACCATTGCAATTTCATCATTGATTCAGATCAAATTCAAATTAACAGGCAACTATTACAGATTGAATTTACCTCACGAAACAAACAGCGGATTTGTTTCATATCCTTGTCAGTTAATTCTAGGAACACCTGAGAATTTGTTTCAAATTAGAAAAAGTCAAATAAAGATAAATCCATACAAGAAAACATTCATACAACGGTATAATGAACATGCATACATGGGTATCAATAGTTGCAGAGAACCAGTGAGATATAAAAATTGGATGTTACGAACAAGTTGACAAGGAATTCTTCTGGTTGCAAAAGAAAATAACTTTTTAATATAAAGATTTAATATACTTCCAAAAGAGCAAAAGAAGCAATGTTTAATTGACACCCCGCCTGTATATCTTGGATGTTTCCAACTAGACCGCAGCTGCATCGTTAATCTTTTTTTAATATGTTGGTTGTTAAGTAGTCCAGTAAACTGCTGATGATTTAAGTACCAGTCCCACTTCTTTTACTTCTTTAGACAAGCAAAGTATAACGTAATTGATTATAGACAAAAGCAATATTTATTACCATCCAACTATTGAATATGAAGCTCACTAAATGAGGCAAGTAAACTGAAAAGGAAAATTAGCCAACAGAACATTATCATATATGTACCTGTTGCCTGCGCTTCATTGGTAGTTGACAGAGAACATCCTTCTTAAGCCTGCGGATCATGACTGTAGCCTTCATCAAATTGTGCAATTCTTCGTGATTACTAGCACCTTGATAAGTTCCAAATACTCCCTGGAAGATGGGACAAAGGACAAAAGTTGTTCAATACCTAATGTAGTGGCAATCCTTAAAAAGTTAAAGATTTGCCATCCTCGGATGAATGTCACTTACACCTTTGCAATAACGCTCACCATAATCGAACACTTTCCTATATACAGTAGGATACAAAGCTTCCAGCTGCAAGTTGTACAAAAATGTTGACAAAATTATTAAAATGCAACGTCATAAAGCTCTAAATCTAGCAAAGCATATTTCCTAGATAGCATTTATAGAACCTGCTTGAACAGCTCAATCGGCCGGGACATAGCTGGTGTTCCAGTAAGTAATATTGCATACTGAGCTTTCTGAAATTTCAACAAAAAGCAACACTAAGAAAAACTAAAAGGAATCAAAATATGCAGTAAACTGTTCATGATACTTTTAGCTAATTATGATCATCGCTGCATGCTTCAATCCATCCATATTAACAATCAACAATCTCATTGATCTTATAGTTGATCACTTTGTGTTCTATTTGGCAAATTTCTTGCTGATTGCTTCACCCCACTCAGCCGGGTAATTGGTCATATTCATACTACCTGAGAAGTGAAATAGTATCATTCTGGCGTTTTAAATTGTCTATATTGAATTATCATCCACTTTCTTCAGTAAACCAGCAACCTGGAGCATTTTGAAAACCTAGCCGTCTATAATGGTAAAAGGTGAATAATTTCTTTCGGGAAATTAAGAAACTCATAATATAGTTAAGTGTGAACATAGTCAAATAAAAAGTAGTTTTAAGCTTCTATCACCATCTATCATAAGAGAAATACCTTTATAACGGGAAGGGAAGCAGTTGTCCTCTTTGCTTGACCATTTTTCAAAAAATGAGATTCATCTGCAATCACAACCTACAAAAAGGGGGAAATCAATGGTACAAGCATGCGCAATCAAAGAAAATGTCCATATAAACAGGAAATCTATACGCTTCAAGCAAGAGGCATGTACTGAAAACCCAAAAATGTGTGTTGACAAAAAATAAAAACAGCCAAGTCAAACCATTCTTGCTAAACATGATGTGTCCTACAGCCTTTCAAAATATTTAAAAAAAAATCTCTAATATAAAAAACTATAAAAAAAAAGGAATTAAGTCATTTCGTTCTTAATAAACTAAGCAGTGGTGTTAAGGCAAGCATCTAGGCCCACAGCATTGCAACTTGGTGTCAGACAACATAAGTGCGTCAAACAATTTCTGGCAAGGAAAATTTGATCGGGCGGACACCTATGTGTGAAATACATTCGACTAAGAAAAGAAACACGCTGTCTTTTAAATTGGATGTGTGTTAGATATACTTGAGTCCTTTATCTACTAGGTTTCTGGTCTCCTAAGACTCTTATCAGCTAAGAAATTATCTCAAGTATAAAACGCAAAAGGAGAAAAGATTGAAAAAACTTGAAACGTACAAAGATTGTACTTACCTTGAAATCTGACGCCACTAATATATTTTCAAGTTTTGCTACCAAATCATAGGAGATTATGTTGAACAGACCATCAAGATGAATACCACCCTTGCTATTTGAGGATAATATTGTGAATCCACTTCTATTTGACCCAGCCATTTGGGAGAAAACAACCTATAGATGTTAGTAGGATCATTTCCAGTTTTTCTTCAATGTTGGTAGGAAACATGAAATGGAATCATGACAACATACAACTATATCTGATGGAGGAATATTGAGCCATTGTTGAATCGTCTGCATGACAGAAGAAGTATAAGCATCCCCTCCCCCCAAAAAAAGACCTTTTTTAAATCCCTCAAATAATTTAAACATGAAGATGACGGGCACTTACTGAAGCCCAATGCAAACGCAAAGAAGATGGCGCAAGTATAAGAACAGGCCAAGAGTCACGAACACATGCAGCAACAGCAATAGCCTGCCAAGCCAATAAGGGTTTAATATGCAGCACAAAACTAAAAAAATATAATCAAAAGGGATAAAAGTAGTAAACTAGGTTCTTTTGTTAAACTTTAGAAGAATGTTGGCACAACATGTTTTGAAAGTCAATTCTAGTTTTTTGTGATAAAACATAGTTTGTAGTACTTATCATCAAACTCCAAAGTCCAAACAATTAAACACCACTCATAAAACACCAAAATATCTCCTTGATAAAACTTGCTATTATAATAAATTGTTTGTGCACAAGAGCACGATAAAGAGGTGGAAGCATTATTACAAGGTATTCTTTAGTGAAAAACAACAATATTTAAAGCTAGTAATAGAAGAATAGTCACATAAATCTTAAAGGAAAAGGTAAATATTCATGGCTAGTATAACAAATGAAAATTTAGCAATCATAAAAATTTAAAAAGTTAATGTATTATGCAACATAAAATGAAAGATTGAAATGCCTTCTCATGAACAAATTTGCTAGTTATCAACATATTGAACATCTAAAAGGTCATAATACACTAAGGCCTTCAATAGCATTGCTTTTCAAACTGACTTTTCAAGCCAAAACAAAAAGATAAAATTTCTAGCTTTTGGCTTCTCAAAAGCCCGTTTGGGTGCCAAATTATAAATTCACCCCTCATTTATATTAAATTATAAATAATCGGTATGGTTTATATATTCAAATTAAATTTTACAAACAATATTAAAAAATTATACTATATATATCACAATATTAACAATGTGTTAGCATAATATTTTTTAAAACATTTTTTTTTATAGAAGTTGGAGGTCTCATTAAAAAAAATTTAAAACATTTTTATTACAATCTAAGTTGAATATTATTTTTATAGGAATTGAAAGCCTCGTTAAAAACCTCCTTCATGATTAAAGGAGCTTATAAAGAAGATCCTTAATCAGCGGGAGGAGGAAAAGAGTGCCTTAGATTTCATTAACCATAGAAAATACACGATACAACCAGGGAGCCACCCCCAATATAAACAAAACACCAAAAACAACCTCAAACAATCCTACCAGAACCAGCCTAATCCAACAAAGCAACAACAACAGCCTACAAAACAGACTGGCCAAACACAAAGCCTAAACGTGGCCCGATAGACGCCCAAACAAAATAAAACAACAATAATAAAAAGCCAAGGGTAACAGCTGACTAAAACCATAGAAACCAACTTCTAACTCAAATGCCACCAAGATTCTCATGATAAGAATACAAAAAAGCATGCACATAGCCGCATTTCCACCACATTAACTCGTCTTGTCGGCTAAGACCATCCGAACTTCTAGCTCCAAACAATAAGCATGAAGCAGATCACCTGAAACTTATACTCCTTCCCCCGCCATAGTCTTCCGAAATCAGATACACTATTGAGCCATTAGACTCCCAACCCAATTCTTTCCCAAATTGCAAGGAATCGATCGTTTCCTTCTGTTGGGACTGCCCCAATGCTGGAAAGTCAGAATCATATATGAATCTACCATCAATAACAGACACCTCTTCCTCCCACTGCACCTTACTCTGATGGCTCTTGCTTCGGTTTCCCCTATACGTTCTTTTGGGAGCTATAAAATTCTCTTGACAAATTTGGTCAGATCTATATTTGTTGCCAAAACCCTCCTTAGGTCTCATGTACTGCCTTGCGTTGCCCTTTGGATTTTTGTATGCGCAGTTGTAAGACAGGCCCTCGTGAATCCCATCCTCCACCACCCTTGACTCAACCCGACCATCCAACATGGTGAAATCAATATAATAATCCTTCGAGCCCTCAAAAGCACGTGCAGGCTCAGTATAGGTATCTTCTTTCTCCCTCTCCGCGTGAACCAACAGATCCACTTTATCCTTAAGGCTCACATCTTCCAATTCCCTTGACACTAAGTGACCATCCAGAATGGGAAAATTAATAAAATAATCCTTACTCCCCTCATAACCATGTGCAGGCAAACAATTGTCCTTAAAGACATCCACTGCTTCTCTCTCCGCGTGCACCAGCAATGTCTCGTGTTCCCCCACTTCCTCAAGTTGCGAAAGAACCATCCCCTGACCCACAACGGCACTCCTCGGACCCATCATCAATTCATCGCCTATGTTCCTGTCCTCCACACCCTCACCCGACAAGAAGCTGCCTCTAGCACTACCCCCCAAACAACATAAAAAAATTTCTTCTTTCTCAAAATACCTCTCGGCAGACTGCAGCTCCGAAGAGTGCACGAATATTCCTGCTTCTTCAGCACCCACCTCCAGCTCGGGGAACTTAACTGGAGAGACACCAACGAGCTCCCCCACCTTGGATAACGGCGATGCGAATGCCTCTTCCAGCGAAGACGACTCCACCCCCTTAATAAAAATTCTGCACCATCCTACCAAGCTGTCTTTGAGAGTTGAGAGCTTACTCTCGTCAACAGAACCAACAATGGGAGCCTCCATATGACTAACATCCTCCACTACACTCTTGCCCTCGACTGGATATGGACCAGAGAACTTCTTCCTCCAGAAAACATCACGAGGATGATATCTCACCATGAAAACTCTAACTTTGTTACCTTGAATCCAAGATCTATAACACAGTTGATAGCCTTCCTCGCGTCTTCCAGTCTGGGGAAACGAACAAAGCCAAACCTACTTCCTCCCTTGCTTCTTTTATTAGGGATGAAAGAATCAACCACCTCGCCATATTTATCGAAAAATAACCAAAGACCTTGGTAATGAAAACTCTCTGGAATGTTGAAAATGATCACTGTAACACAATTTTTCCAAACAGGAACTCTCACCTTACTCGCCATCAAATAGAAATGAAAAGGAAAAACGACAGAAAAACTTATCTAAAACACCTGATTTTTAGAGAGAATGAGGAGCTTCTCTCACTAACACCTTAGACTCGGAAAGGGTTCTTTGATTTGAAGGAGTATATCTAAGTTGAATATTTGTTAATACAAAAATAATACTAACATGTAATGATAATGACACGAGGAAAGAACTAAGAAGAATACTTTTCATTCGAGTTCATTATTCCATCAGTTATGAAATTTTTATTAATTTGTAAGAGTTATGTTTGTATATGATTTATATATTCGACTTAAATTTTAAAAAAAATCATTTAAAATTTACGTTCCATATATCATTATATTAATGAATTTGAATATCATTTAAATTAACTTATTTTTTACTTTACAACATCATATCTAAAACTATAAATTTTAACTTTTTTATTGAAGTTGTAAACAACTGAAATCCTAGACTGCGCTTTCCAAAAGCAATGTTAAACTAGCCCTAAACATTTATTATAGTTTTAATTCAAAGGAAGAAAATACACCCTGACTATAAAACGTTGTTGATACATAATGCATAAATTAGAAAAACATGAGTTTCAACTCTATATACGCTTCTGTCACTGAAAATAAAGCAGTAGAGAATGTCCATGAGCTACAGCCCCCCCCCCCCCCAAAAATAACTCAGAGAACGCTTGCAGATTCTTTATGTCTTTAATTCTTTATTTCCCATTTGTTTGGTGGGGGGTATTTCCCATGAGATATCCTAGTGTGGAACACAAGTTATCTAGATAATTCTTATAAATGCATTGTACAAAAGAACAGTTCATATATACAACAACAACTACTTACCTGTAAAGTCTTTCCTAGTCCCATTTCATCAGCTAGAAGTGCACGTCCTCCATGTTGCAACACAAACCTGAGGGAAAGAATAACCTATAGTAAAAGCATCACAGATATAAAACTAAGGAAAGAGGAGGTAAAAATTCTTATTTTCTTAGAAAAAGTACTAATCCATGCATCACAAAGAAAAGGTTTGATGAGGAAAACTCTCCACAATTATCACATACCTGACACCCTCCCGCTGAAATGGTAGAAGCTTTGACTCAATACACTTAGGAATCCTGTCATACAGCTCTAGGGAAAAAGAAAAGGAAGAAGCCAAGAAATAAGGGGAAAATATGAACTACTAAACAGTATAACGGTAAATACTAAATACCAATAGAGAACTCAAATATAGGCAACAGGTGAATGGTAATGGTCTATCAAGGAAAACTGGCAAAGAGATATTCTTACTATCATATAAAATTACCTTGAAGATCTGGGAGTGTGGCGGCGGCAGCTACAGCACGTTGCACCAAGGGATGTAAATTCTCTACCTATAACATCACAAAATAATATTGAGACATATTGAAGTCAAACTCAGCAGTTTAGCAACAAGGTAGTGTATTCTTAATGTGAGAGAAACAAAATGAAATTATTTATGACCTCAACATTACAACCAGATATTTCAGAAAGAACTTTTTCAGCTGATGACAAAGAAGATTGCGGGAACATCCACAATCTGCAGGTTCAACAGCATCTGATCAGGCTAAGGTGCATTTACATTAATGCCAGAGAAAATTTGCCAGCCATAAAGTCAAAATTGTCAACATCAGAGTGAAAGCAGGAACCTTTCTTTTGCATTCCAAGTGGCTTTAGGGATCTTACGGAAAGCATCAATTAAAACCTAAGTAACGATAAAAGAATAGACGGTAAGTGCAAACTAAAAGCAGTTTCACTTTGAGGAAGGACTGTTTTTTTTACCTGGTTATAGGGAAATTTTGCAGCAATGTTTCCAGTGGCGTGGAGAAAAAGTTTGAGGGAAACCCTGGGTTCTTGTTCCTTGGAGCATTGATCAGCTGTTGGACAAATATACGTTCAAAGAAATCCAACCGCTTTACATTTATATAGAATAATAGAAGTAAAAGAATACATAAATGAAAAAGAAAGCAACTTACCAGGTTTTGCTTTTGGCGCAATTGATGGAGGCAATGCTCTGGACAAAACTTCACCCTGAGTTATAATCATAAATGAAAAGAGAAGAATATTGAAAACCCAAAAATTGAAAAGAAACCCATATTCATAATATAAAAAAGAAGAGAAATGCCAGAAAAGTGAAGTATTAGTAAAGTAAAGACAGTAATTGCCATCTGATAAAGAGAATGGATGATAGGTTGTTGAATGTAGGGAGGAGAAGAAGAGTGACGTTGCTGAGAGATCTTCTGGAGAGCGTCTCTTTCAAGAGAATCCAATTCTTCAACGCTCAACTCCCATTCATCCAATTCCATTTTTTGCAGCCAACTTCTGGTTTCGCGTCCGCCTTTGTCTTTCTTCCCTCTCTCATATAATTGAAATACTTCGTTTTCTACTCGGTTAATGGGTGGAGTTTCTAGTCTTTAACTTAATAAATTTTTGGGTACATTACTAAATTTTATTGTATACTTTTAATTTTTTTAGTTTACTCATTGAATTTTATATATTGAACTTTTTTATCACTCTGTCGTTAATCTTGTAACGACGCTATGATGTGACAATTAACATCAAAATGACGTAGTTTTGGATCTTATATAAAATCAAATTTATATCAAAACGATGTAGTTTGGGTCTAAATAAAAAATATAGTTCTCTTCGTTTTTCCTCAGCTTCAATGAACTAAAATTCTGACCACCACGTCGGCTACCATTTCGAACTTTACAACTGTATTTTGATTTACCAAAATGAAATTATAACTTTTGCCTTTATTTTTTAACCAAAATACCGTCCATTGATTCTAATAAAACCATGAAATCCTCCATGCGATGGTGCATCTAACACTCCCCTTCTTTCAAAACAACACCGTCTCTTTCTCTCCTTCCCAATACTTAACTCACACTCCTCTATTTGGTAAGCAAACCCAAAATGTCACTCTACAATTTTATATCTTTGAAATTCAAATATCCCCAATTTGAAATCAATAATTTCCAGATCGTAGATCCTCGGTTTACTGGATTTGTTGCTATTTTTTTCTTTTCGCATGTCTGGTGCTAGTAGGTGGTGTTGTTATTTGTTGAGTGGTTTTGTAAAATTGTTAGGTCATTGATTTAGTTCCTTGTGGCAAGGAATAATTCATTGAGGCTTGCTATTTAGGGGTTAGTATTTTATTTGTAAGTTTCATCCTAGATTGAGTATATCATAACTATATTGAAGGGCCCAAAAATTAGAGTTCATTCTAAGTTAAAGAGAAAGAGAGGTCGTTGGAGATTGCTTCCTCGAGGAAAGAGACACTAAGAATATAATTTGAGTGATATCAACTATAGGATTTGGTACATTTTTCGGTTAAAAAAACACTAAATTTGCATTTAAAATGATAAAATATATTCGGTGATTTTTTTTTTAGAATCATTGGCCTTCGGTGACCGACTATGGTTAGAACGGCGATCAGTATGGTGGTCGGAATATGGGAGGAAGAAGAAAGAAGAAATAGCAAAAAAATGAAAAGAAACAAATAAAATTAATTTTTTTATTTAGACCAAAACTATGTCGTTTTTGTATAAATTTGATTTTTTATAAGATCCAAAACTACGTCATTTTAATGTTAATTGTCACATCATAACCCCGTCAGGAAATTAACGGTAGAGTGACAAAAAAAATCGATGTATAAAGTTCAGTGAGAAAATTGAAGAATTAAAAATATGATAAATAAAAGAGGAGAGAGTAAAGTTTAGTGAGTAAACGTGTAATTTATCCTAAATTTTTTAAATATTTAACGATACGTAATCTCTAAATAGGCATTTACTTTTTCAAAAGAAAAAAATATGTAGTTTCTTTTGTTTTAATTTTATTCACTTTTGATCACTAATTTTTTTAAGTATACTTTGATCATTTATATTATCAATTTATTATATTTTTATAACTAAACTGTTAGTTATCGTTTGTTTGATATTGTGGAAGGTTGGTAAAAGGGTTTAAATTTTAATTTAACCTCTACATTTTAGAAAATAATAATAATTTTACCCTTAAATTTCAAATAAATTGTCAACTTAACCCATAAATCTAACCAAAGTCTCACATCTTCGTCAGTCATCATCGATCATCGGTGACTACGATTGTAAACCATACAATTTTTAGTTCACTCTTTTCTAACCTCTCAAACGTGAATATAATGTTCGTTTCATAAAAAAAACTCAACTCCAAAAAAGTTAGCATAGAAACCTTTAGCTTGCTTTAAAATTAAAATATAATAATAAATTTATTATTAATATTCTTTTAAAAATAAGAACACAAAAAATCTAAAACCATATCATAATCAAGTCCATAAAACTTTTAAAAGAATATTGATAATAAAATTATTATTGTGGTTCAATTACAAAAAAAAATGGAAGGTTTTTAAGTTTTTATTATTTTTTGATTAAGCAAAGGTGATTATAAAGTATTATTTGTTCTAAATATTCTCAATCATTTGACGATAAACGCTAAATTATTATGACTACAGTCTCTGGTGAACCTGTGACCTCTAGAAATAACGATTCTTTTAACTATTGAGGTAAGTCGGATCGTGCAAGGTTTTTAAGTTAAATTGTTGAGTTTATATTATTTTTTTAATAAAACAAGAATCTAATTTACATTCATGAGAATCATGACATTAAAAAAAAGTGAATTCAAAATTTTAGGGTCAAATTATAGTCGACAATGCGACCGGCAAAGACAAGTGATAGTGTTGAACGACGGTAGGAGACTATTAAAAAAGGGAATGTTTGATTGATATTCATTATGAAAACGAATCCTATAATCATTTTGGCGTAGAGAGAGATTTCAGTTCTATTAAAATAAAATTTCTTTTAACATGAGTTGATATAAAATTAAAATTAAAACTAAAAGAATGTATAACTTGCCAGCAATACAAAATGAATATATATATATATATATGAGTTAGGATTCAATTACATAGTGTAAAATTAAAAAGTTTTACATATTTTTAGGATCGTTGGATGAAGAAAAATCAAAGGTTGAGATTAGCAGTATGATATGATAAAATTTGATCTCATAATCGCTTGAATTGTATAGTTGTTTGAGATTTTAACATCATAATTTATCATTTCTAAGTGAGTAGATTAACGTTAAACTCAAAATGTCGTTAATTTCTCAACGAAAAATGACGAATTATAAACATATGAATGATTAGTTGATAATTTTATAACTTTTAATAATCGGAGGACTCAACAAAACAACATAATATAGTGGGAGGATCACTTTATAGCTTTCAATAGTCAAGTGACTCAATAATATAATACCCTATCTATAATCGGGAGACCATTTGTGTCATTTACCCCATAATCTAATTGTTTAGTTCAAAATGTTTTGAGTGTGGTATGGTTGAAATTGGGTGTTTGGCAGGTCAGACAAACCATGTAACGGTTTCTAGTCATTCTGTATTATTAGCATATGGGGTTCTGATGGACCAAATTTAGGTGAAATATTTATCAAGATCCGATCCATTTGACCGTCGACTTCAAATCAATCTTTCTATATCTATAGGGTTATTGAATAAATGTCATCATATTATGTGGATGTTGAAATTTATGAATTATGATTATCTTTTACATTGGTTAATGTTTATCATTGTACTTTGAAAATATCGACAAATTAATATTTTAATTGAGCTTTGACACTTAATTTTCCTAAACAAAATTAAATTTTAATTTTAATTTGATTTTGAATAGTTTAAGGTAGTGATGTCAAAGGTAAAGAGTGGGTGTGGGATAGGGCTGTAAATGATATGAGATAAATCGAGAGTTATTTAATATCGATTCGGTCAAAACTCAATAAATATTCAGTTCGAAGGGACTCAATTCGACTCGAGCTCGATTAGAGTTCTTAACGAGTCAAAACGAGCTATTTGATACTCGACTTTAAAAGCTAGTGAGCAGCTCGAAAATATAATATATTAAAATTTTATTTTTTAAAAAACTATTAATATTGTTAACATTTTATGTGTTGTTGTTTTTAAATACAATATAAGGTTTTCATGTATTTAAGATTTAAGTTCGAGTTTAAGGCTTTAATCGAGTTAAGTTTAAGATTTTTTTCTTTCATTCCGAGTATTTTCAAGTTTTTACGAGCTTCAAATTCATGATTTAGAGCTTGAAAATTTTAAGCTTGCGAATTTTTCAGTCGAGTAGAGTTTCATTTCAGAGATCGACTCAGTTTGTTTATAGCCTTAGTATGGGGTGCCACTCATCCTTGTCAAGAAGGTTTTTATTCTTATTTTCGCAAATCGTTAAGGAGTCGTTTGGTTCACGGAATGTAAAATTACCGTTGGAAATAACATTACTTGAATGTAACATTACTATGGGAATTTTGTATTACCTTATTTGGTTTGTTTAGCAGTAACGTAAAATTACAGTGTTTGGTTAGAGAAATATAAGATTAATTGACTGTATATTTTAATAAATTATCCTTGTGATATATGTTTATAAAAAAGTAAAACTTTAATATTAAATTATAAATATTTGAATGAAAATTCATAGAAATATTTTAATCGCTATACTATCTAACTATTGAGAAAAATATATTTAATATATAATTAGTGTATTAAACTTATATTTTTAAATAATTTTCAGTAGCATCATATTTATTTACATAAAATATAATATAATATAATATAAAAAAAATAATATTATGATCTCGAGTGAACAATAATATTATTTTTCAATGTATAAAATCTATTTTTTAATAACTTAAAGTTAGAGATTATTTTTAATAATTATATTTTTACAATCATATTATTTTTCACCTCATAAAATTATAATTAAATAATATATTGAATGATAAAAATATAAAATAATTTTAAATACTCAAATTTATTAATATTTTATTTAATTAAACTCTTTATATATTATTATTATATTTGTAATTTTGACTAAAATATAAAAATTAAGAATTGAAAATGATCATTATAAGAGGAATTCATTAGTCTAGGGGCATTCAAGTCTAAAGTAGTGGGAATTGTCTTATTCTTAAGAATTTGAAGATAATGATATTCCCGCCATTTTAATAAAAAAATGCTACTTTAGAGAAAAAATTATTCTTGAAAATGACCAAACGTAATGTGAGAATGTAATTCCGTAAAATATTATTTGTCTTGATAATTTTTTTTGGGCGAATCAAACCTATAAGAGTACAAAGTCTAAGATTAGCTCCACCTCATCATACGTTAGACTAAAGTGGTTGACCTAGTATTTACATGGGTCTTAAGATCTATCTAACCACATTATATTTGTTTTATTATTTTTTATTAAATGTATTTATAATTATCAATTAAATAAATATAGGTCAATTCTTTATTAAAAAGAGTATAAAATATATTACCTTCAAATTCCCA